AGTTCCGTCGTCCGAAAAGATACCACGCGAACAGACCTTCCCGATCGGAAGTCGATGCTGCCGGTTGCACGGCCACGGTCACCTCGAGGCGTTGAGGAATGTACTTCTCCGGTAAGTCATACCGGGGCGGCTCGAGATGGGCATCCTCGTATTCGATAGCCGATCGGAAAACCAAGAACTCGTAAAATTCGGAGGGGATCTTGGTCGCCGCAGTCTTCAGGGCCCGGGTAGGCCCGGGACGCTTTCATGCGGTAAAGTGACGAGACCTAGACCTCTTGACCAGGAGTTGCCAGGGGTACTCGACAGAGATCAACCGGTTTTTCCACCCTCGATTGTTCTCCGGTAGGTCGAAAATGTTGCAATGATGACTTCGAGTTTGGGCGGCTAGAAACCCACCCCCATATCGAGCCGCGAGCGGGTGGACCGTATACAGGAAGTTGAATAGATCTATGGTGTAGTCCAAGTCGTGCCGGGCGCAAATCTGTGGGAAGCAAGCTATGATCCGGTGCGCGTTAGGGCAGATTTGGCCCCAGGAGAACGCCGTAATGCTTCATGAAGGCGAGAAGGAAAGGGCTGAAAGGATAGGTCAAGGGGGTCTTGATGGAGTCCAAGTGCATCCCAAGCCAAAGCCCCTGCGTCCGTTCAACGACTGTCCCTTGGGACCTCCGGGTGTTGAACAGAACCCGCCCGGTCAAAAGGGTAGCAGCGTCCTCTGCCTCCTTATTGGTCAGCCGACTCTGATGCTTCTCGGTGGACATGCTACTCAAGAAGACCCTCTTCTTGGTCATCAGGTCGTCGGCTAAACGGGCTGCCGACCTGGGGGACAGCGAAGGGTCGAGAGCCGCGGCCATTATGCCCGGTGGAAATCCTTGTCCTTTATTGCCGTATGTTGGGGGATCTTGACCGGAAGTACCGGGTGCTTCTGCAGGATCATCGCGCTCTCCCGACCCGTAACGTGCCTGATCTTCCTCGACTGCGCGATCGAGCGCGAGAGCATCGCTTGGCATATCCCGACTGTCATGCCGTCCAGCGGCCGGCACGTCACCAGCGTCTGCCCGAGGGATGCGAGCGTCACCGCTACTGGATGCGTCCGAGCGCTCAGACGAAGAGCCTTCGGGAGTTGTTCTCACCGATCTGTCATCACTACCGGTCGCGTAGTCCCGAGCTGAGCGGTTTTGACTGTCGGAGCTCGACATAGTTCCACCCCTAAAAGACCAAGGGGGAGAGGTAGCGTTCAAACATTGGTGCCCCACTTAAAGGCGCCCAAGTCGCCGGCCGACTGTTTCTTAAGGGCCTAGGCGATCCTAAACAGCATTAACGCTAAAGGGGGTTGGGAGAAAAGAAAAGAAGAAAGTCGAGGGTCACGTACCGATTGACAGGACTTGGGAAATCGCATCAAGAAAGGAAACGAGTAGCCGCTCGGGAACGTCCGGTTGTCGCTAAGAGATTGAGAAAGCACAGTGGGACCCCAGCCAAACCAGTATTTATAGAGGCGAAAGTTGGCGGGAAGTCGCTTTGACGCCTCGTTTTCGGACCCGTATCTCGAGGAGCCCTCTGACTGACGCGTGCCTCCCCACGCCCAGAGACGGTCCACGATGCGAGTGCAGGTATCCCGCGATCCACGCGGGTTCGACTCCAGAAACACCCCCACGAGATCTTGGCTCGGGCTCCTCCTCCAGCAAAGCATCGTCCGACCCACGAGCCAGGGGGGCTATGTGATAGGGATATACGTCCGGGTCCCGAATGTCTCACAACCGGGTAACCGCCCGACCATCGCGGCAAGGCCGTATGGCCTGCCCCCGACCGACCTCAACCGGAAAGCCGCGGAGTGCTCCGGGCGGCAGCGTCCCTCCGGGACTCTGTCGGTAGGCGGTCGGACCCACCGGATGATGCTAGTCGGAGTCCGGTGGAAAAGACGCTGCTGAAGGGGAGAGAAGTCAGATCTTAGGCGCCGCGTGGCAGGTGGCCACACGACCACTGACAACGCCCGGTGCATTCTCGCCACGTGTCCGACATGCCGGAGGCCCGGCAGCACCTACCTTTAGGACCCTATATATAGCACATTAAATGCATTGTGAAAGGGACTTTTGGGCACGAGGCAAAACCAGAGCCTCTCGACCCACTAGAGAGATCCGAGCCTTGCCTACGCCCGTATAAATACATCACCCTGTATTAACAGTATCAACTATATTATCTTGCATTTGTAAACTTAGAATTGCATATTCAAATACGCAAATTTAACATTCAATTATTTATGCATGAAAAATTCCAATATAATCTTGCCTTGATATACTTTAAAGTACTTATTTAAAACAAAAAACATTGGACATTATCCCAATCGCGCAATGCACGTAAAAAACTAGTATATATATATAAATAAGGCTGCGGTCCATAATCTGGTTGCGATCATATATACATAATAATCGGGCTGCGATCAAACGTTATAAATGAGCTGCGATTCATTGATTGATTGCGATCAATCTCCTTGTGCTGCGGTACAAGCAGGGTGCTTCGGGGTCGTGTCAGAGTTATATGCGCTGACCCTCATGTATGGGCATGCGATTGGTCCTGCGGCACCACCATATGTACATACGTGTCTTATTGTTGATTGTGACTGAAATAGTAATTGAGTATTGATATGATTGATATGGAATAGTCTTGTGACCTTAGGATGCATGCTAGAATTGTTATGTGTGTGATTAATTATATTGAATGTGCCTACCCTTGCTTGATTGAGTCTATCATCGGTTTTAAATTAGATTTGCATAAGTATATATATATTCCGGCTTCAAAATGATTTTTCTTATATATATCTACCTATATTATACTTAACGCGTTGGAGTCGGTTACCAGCATTATTCGCTGAACAGATATATTTGGCTTTCAGGCACAGATGAGTAGCTCCGGAACGCGCTAGTTGGACCCGTGGACCTAGCTAGATTAGTTCTTTTATCGGGTTGTGTGCCTTGATGTTGTACTAGACATTGATTTGAGGATTTCTGTTGTTCGGATTGTTTAGCATGTGCATCTGAGTTCTCCAGCTCAGATGTGGCATATCACCCCAACAATTATGTTTAGTTATGCTCTATTTGGGATTTGATAATAGAATTGCCTTTATTTCATAAGCATTAAAAGTTTTAAAATTTAGGGGTGTTACAAATGGTCTGGAACCCGAAAGTTCTGACTGTTGTGAATATTAAATTCATCCGTTACGGAATTAATATTGCTTTAATTCCAATTTTTGAACTCTGAATTTAATCTCACTTAGTGGGGTTGCTGTTTCAGGTGTTACTCAATTGGTTTAATACCAATTTAAATGCTATATTGAAGGCTATTCGACTCCCCCAACCCTATATAAGAGAGGGTAGAGCAGCAACTTTTTGACATAAGAAAAACAAGAAATTCAAGGAATTCCACTACGTTTTCAGCTCCCAAAACTCTGCTTCTACCTCTTTCTTTAGCCAAGTGTGTTCATACTTTGCTTTGTTCGTCGGATTCTTTGTTTGGATGCTCAAACACTAAATGGTAACAACGTTTTATCCTCGGAAACCTAGGCTACAATGCTCCTAGCACTTGTTGGAGGTAGCAAATAATGTTTTAAGGAAAAGAACGATTTGTTAAAACTCGTATTAATCACTATCCGAACCATCCACATTTTCTTTGGCAGATTTTTGCCTTTTTCCATATAAAAATAATCTTTCCGTAAGATTATTATTTTTGGTTTTTCCACCTTATTACCCAACATTATATTTCTTATCAACATTAGTTTTAACATATACTTCATCTAAAATGATATCATGTGTGAATATGTGTGCGCTAAAAGTATGAACAAACCATTTTATATGATAAAACATATGTAATTTTGTATGTAATAAAATTTGTTCTTTCAAACCACTGACTCTATTACAATGTAGTATCTGTTCATAACTACTTTCTCAACCTAATGAAACATAAAGCGTGCTCAATATCACCTCTATTAAGACTCGAAGTCACAAACTTCTATATAAATGAGCAACTTGGTGCCATTAGGCCGCAAGGTCCTTGGCATTTTTACCCTATTAATCACTCTAAAAAACACGAATAGATACAAGCTCATTTAGTTTTTTAAAGTGTACCTAATGATACCTATGTCTTAGAGCTTGTGCATCTTGCTTTTACTTTTCAATTAGTATTTTTCCCGTGCGGTACACTAACACAATTTCAGAAGTATTATTTTAATTTTATAATACTAAGTAGATCTAATTTTATTAAAAATATAAATATAACTATACAATTTAATATTTAAATATTTTTAAAATTTAACTATAAAATGTAAACCTTATTCATTAAAAAGTTTATCAAAGTAAGAAGTATATATGAATCCACTGCCGAAAGCAATCTGCCAAATCCTGTCGCCTTTCTTTATCCTCCCTTTGGATTCAATGTAGTTGAGTTCGTAACAGAGCGAAGAAGACAACGTGTTTCCAAACCGGTACATCGTCATCTTGAAGGCCTCCACGTGTTCCGGCGAGAGCTACATGTTCTTCTGGAGATTGTCGATGACGGCGCGACCGCCGGCGTTGATGCAGAAGTTTTCGATGGGCTGTTTGAAGTCGGGAATGTAGGGTTTCCATTTGTGATTGAAGATTTTCCGGTCGATTAGGGTGAAGAGGAAGAGGAGCTATTCTGACGGCGGGAAAACGAACGGGCCGATTGTGGTTATGTTGGATTTGAGGGCTTCACCGGCGATCACCATTAAGTATTTTGAGAGGTTGATTCTGACTTTCCCTTGCTGATCTTCCTGCTCGTAAACGCAGCGGTAGGCTTTATCGTCGGCGCCCTTGTGCGTGCAAACCATGTGCATGAATCGGTACTTGGCCCGACTCGAATCGCGCTTTTTATTGAACACAAGAATCGCGACGCCGCCGAGTAGTTGTGGCATTGGACCTGATGAAGATTGCAAAAAAAAACAAAAAAACAAAAAACTATATAAAATGAAGTAACCCGAACCATAATCAATATAGACCGACCATTCGCTTGCGCTCCTCCTTATCTCTAACCTTATCTAAAGTGGCGCTCCTCTTTCTCTATAACCTTATCTGAAGGTATTCTTCTCCGAGGCAGGCGCTTAAGGTATTCTTCTCTTTCTCTATAACCTTATCTGAAGGTATTCTTCTCTGAGGCAGGCGCTTAAGGTATTCTTCTCCTTCTGCCTGCCTGCTGTGCTGAAAAAAGGTGTTCAGCTGTTTTTTTTTGGTTAAATTATCTCGCAGATCTGACTTTAAAAAGTCGAATAACATAGCCCTCTTTTTAAGACACGAGAGGGTAGGCGATGTGTTAGTACAACCTGAGATCGCATTCCTTTTCTCCCAACTTGCTGATCATCAAATATTCAATCCCCCGGCCCGAACTCAGTGGACTAATCATCTTCGCTCTCCCTGAATCTTAATCGTGCTTCGTCTTCCTTAGAATGGGTACTTTCATTTCTGCGCCGCACCGATCCAATCTTAATTATTATCACTGTCTTATTGGAACCCCCAATTTATTGATCTGCTTTTAGTCTCCGCATCCATTTATATCAATTTGCTGTTTTTAATTAGTTTTTTTTTTCTTTCTCATGCTGAGTGATATTTATTACGTAGTACTTGTTTTTATCTGCAGGTTGATCTTGCATTTCAGTTTAATTTTTTGTAGTTTTGTTGTTGATGTTGCTCTTTAGCAACTTGATCTTGATTGCAAGTTTGAATTTTTTGTTAGTGTCTTGATGGACAAGTTTAGTTAGGTGAAAATACGACAGAACTAGAAGATTATGCTTAGTTTTTTTTTTTTTTTTTAATTAATTTTTTTATTGGACTAATTTATATTCAGATTGGAGATTATACAGTGCTTTTAGTGCGGCTACAAGTTGCTGCTTAAGCTGAAGTGTGCATATATACATATGCAAACACACATGCATTACACACACATGCATACACTAGTTTTGGCATTACATTACTTGTCAAAAGTTGGTTAGAGAGTAAATTTATTTATTTAATTTTATTTTCTTAATGTGGTGGTAGTAGAATGGAAGAAAGGTTGTAGCTCTGAGCATAGTGTTTATTAGAATGCTTTCTTTTGTTGGACTTTTCTACTTTTCCCTTTTCTGGCTATAAACCTTGTCCATCCCGGGGAGGCAAGGATTCAAGGATAGAGTGGATAAGGTGAAAATGCAAACTTTTTGCCATACATTGATGGATTCTGTTGCACTTTTTTATGAAATGGGTATCAATACTATAAGATATACTGAAGGATAACTGCATTTGTTTCATATGCCTGATACCTTTTTTCACTTACAGTATTAATTAATGATATTGGCCTGTGTTGCTGTAAAATGTAGATACCCTCTTGTTTGCTGCTTCTCCCTGTTAAGAATGAATATTTATTTTCTGTTTCATTAATACAGCATTTTTCTAATGTAATTTATTGTCACAGAAAAATCCAATGAGTGTTGTTCAACTCAACTCATTGATGCGGATGGTGCATTCAATGTTACTGGAATTGAAAATATCACGAAGGAGGTTAAATTGGCACAATGTGGGCTTTCATATGTTGTTGTATCCATTTTGGGCCCACAAAGTAGTGGTGTGTTTTCTTTTTTCCTGAAAAAGAATTTTAAGAGATCTTCCTCGTACTTATAGTCACGTCAAATTTTAAAATTTTCAGCTATATAAAACTGTTCATATTTTTCACATGCATCATCAAACTTATTCAGAATCATGCCTCGATTGCTTCCTTTTGGAGGCCCTGAGTAATACTAATTTTCATTAGAACTGCTCAGTGGCTCTAATACCTTGCTAGCAAACAAGGAATTTGATGATATCCTCAATATTTTTATTTATTTATTTTGATTATTTCTGTGATTTTGACAGGAAAGAGCACACTGTTGAATCATCTATTTCGTACAAACTTTATAGAGATGGATGCTTACAATGGAAGGCATGTGTTCATCAAGCTCCTGTCATTATACCTGTTTTTTCTTTCTGTAGTCACAACAAACTGACTGAATTTCCTCTTTCTAGGTTGAAAACCACAAACGGTGTTTGGATTGCTAAATGTGATGGCATTGAACCCTGCACCCTTGTAATGGATATAGAGGGAACTGATGGAAAAGAGAGAGGAGAGGTATGGTTCATATATATATATATATATATATATATACCCTACTGCATTATTTTCTCACTAGTAGTTATTTTCACAAGTTTTATTTCATTTAAAAAATGCCGTCTGGTATTCATTATTTTGGTTTGGGGGTTTTAAGCTGCATTCATACAACTTCCCTGCACTCTTGCGCTCTTTAATCAAATCCAGTACACTGTAGTGCTAATTTCTTATATAATTCTCCAAATTTTATAATAGTATTGTTTGACATTGAGATCTATATGATGAATGAAATCATATCCTTTGGTAAATTATTCACAAATATCAGTGGCTGGCATCAGTACATTGACACTAATGCTGGTAATGCTTGATGTTTCCTTTAGCTCACCTGCCTCTGCAGCCATTGCTGGTTTGATGTGATGTATATATTTTTAAATTTGGTTTCTATTTTCATGTTAGGATGATACAACATTTGAAAAGCAGAGTGCCTTGTTTGCCCTTGCAGTTTCTGATATAGTTCTAATAAACATGTAAGTTTGTAATTAACGTAACACATAACATGAAATACAATATTACATAAATATATTATACAATAGAAAGCTTTTATCTAACTAAGGTTGTAATGTTCAGCTGGTGTCATGATATTGGCCGCGAGCAAGCAGCAAATATGCCTTTGTTGAGAACTGTTTTCCAGGTAAGCTTTTTGAAAATTTGAATTTGTTCTTGTGCATGGATTGGTAGGGAGGGGGCTATGCTAGATGTTGTTTATCATGTGCAGGTCATGATGAGATTATTTACTCCCCGTAAAACTACCCTACTGTTTGTTATTCGTGACCAAACAAAGGTACAAGCCTTCATTTCTTAGTTTCTTTCACTTATTTCATGGGAGTTAAGATACGCTATCTAGATGTCATGGGATATGAATTTTCTTTTCCTTGCTAAGCTTTAAAATTTTTCTTTTTAGACACCCTTTGAAAAGTTGGAGCTTGATTTACGGGAAGGTATTAAGAAGGTACTGCATGTTATCATTCTTTTTGTTTGTTACTTGTATTGCAGTTGATTTTATTTATGCATTTACTTTGTTGATGTCAGATGTGGGATACCGTCCCCACGCTAGGAGATCACAAGGAAACTCCTCTTAGTGAATTTTTCAATGTGAGTCCCACTCGGATAAGCTCTGACAGAACTGTACCTTTTCATTGCTGTCTGTGAGTACACATTTATTAAATTGAGTATAATGCTTAAATTCTAGGTTGAGGTTGTCGCTCTTGATAGTTACGAGGATAATGAAGAACAGTTTAAAGAGCAGGTAATAAATGCATTTGGATTCCTTGAAATGCATATATATGTTCTGAGTTTGCAATACTTTCTATTACCATGTGGTTTTTACTAATACTAGTAATTTTTTTTACCGACTCACCCGTCTCAATCCGTGAGACGGGTTGTATGTTTGACCATAGTAATCAAAGATTTGACTCGTCTTATGAATTGAGATTTGTGAGATGGTCTCACAAAAATTTTTGCTTTTAATTATATATATAGCATATACTAGTATTTAATATCATCAAAAAGAGTAATTTTATATTTCCAATCAGAAGTCTTTTTTGTTTTCGAGGGTTGAGACTTTTGTTTTCATATTTAAATATATTATTGACATTTAACAAGCAACAAATGATCCTCATTTGAGATTGGTGAAATAATTTTTTTTTAGTGCGGAATATAATCATTTAAAAAATATCAAATTACAACTACAAAATACAAAATACAATTAAATGCCTAAATTCTTCAAATCATAAGAGTAATGAGTATACTACAAAATAATAGATGCATCAACTATAGATTACACACGCTATGGAAGGGAAAGTGTATGTCTTTTTTCAATGTTGGCTCATAAATTTGATGAAAACAATCTTGTATCGCCCATTGCCCATTGTGAACAATTTGAGCAATTACTTATTGTAAAACGTAAAATTACATTGTGAAAAAAGGATTAAAACAGTTTGAAACTCTCTTAAATTGGTATTTATAGTGCATCTGAATTAATTGTCGGAAATTAATGCATTCTTGGATCTGGTAAAATGAAATCATCACATTTAACCTAAAGTAACCGAAATAACAATGTCATAGTTATGAATTGTTGTCATTTTTGGCCTAATTCATTCATTACCATAATTTCATCTATCTTTTGATGTTTTGAACGTACCTTATTATGACTATGTAATATATCATTGTAATATAATTGTCATTATTTTGAGAATATAGTTAATGTGCAGTTATTCTTTATTAACCATTACCATTATTGTGAGCGTAAATTAATGATATACTTTTATCTATTTTCTAATATTTCGAGTATAAATCATTGCTATAAAATAAACTATTGTATATTGCATAATTTATTATTTAATTCCTCCAAAACAGAGATCAATTTTATATTTTAAATTTAAATTGAAAAGTCTTTTTCTACTTGGGCAAGAAAAGTCTTGGACCTTCCGCCGAACAACTCTTAGCCACCGAGGGGTGCTAGTCCTGGCCTTTAAATGTCTATTCTATGGGACTCAAACCTTTAACATGTCTATTTTACTTGTTAGGATAAAGTGCTTACTATTTACGTCAAAAGTTATAATTAGTAATGAATGTGCAATCACACATTTTTTGATAGTCTAGGTGCAATACTTGGTCTTTTAAGCCCTTTATCGGCTTTCGTTCAACAAACCCCAGTATCGGGTTTGGACTTGGCTTTTACGAGTATCTGCAATGTGTTGACATTTAAACTTTACCTAGAGCATTAGTATAATGAGTGCTAAAAAAGACCTTATGCAATACCTAAAATGCAAAAAATAGTAGACAATAGAAAATGAGAATATTAATGGACAACTTATTATTGTACATTTTTGCACCACAAAATTGAATGAGTAAAACAATTGGATTACGGTTATCACAATTGACATATTGTAATAGTTTATCCACATATTGATTCCAAAAACGTGCAAGGTAGATCGTAAACATCTCACTGGAAGAAAATTAAATGCCCATATTATTCAAGATACAAGGCCAAATTGTTTCCAAATATACATAGGAAAATGGTCAAATAGGTTTTCAAACTTTAGTTTGATTAGTCCTTTAAATTTTTTAAAAGTGTAATAACATCTATTAATAATTTATTTTAGTGCAATTAAGTTCAAAAATAACTTCAAAAATAGCCAAATAGATTAATGACTTGTTATCACATGTTGATGGGTATATATAATTGTACCCTTAAAAAGTTTAGGGAGCTAATTGACTTTTCTGTTAAAATTTGAAGGTTTATTTGACCCCTTTTTCAATATACAATATACAATTTAGTATATATGATTACAACAAAAATGTGTGTTAATTAACGAGAATGTATATATTATAAAATACGGAGTAATAAATCTATCAACTATGATTGACATACTTGAAATCTTAAAATATGCACGCCATTGAATGGTACGTGTATGTCTTTTTTTTTTAAATGTTGGCTCATAAATTTAAATTAAACAAGCTTGTATTGCCAATTGCATGCAGTGAACAGTTTGAACTATTGTGTATCATAAAATGTAAAATGACATTGTGAGGAAAGGGATCGACATGAGAAACTCTTAAATGGGTATTTATAGAGCATATGTTAATTGTTTGAAATTACTGCATTATTAAATTTGTTGACCTAGTAATGTATGCTGATTTGGTTCTCTAACCTAATAATGTATTGAAAAACAAAAAGAAAACGAACTGCTAAGAGTTTTATTTACAATCATCATCATAAATAATATAAGCCAAGATAAGACCTATCTACCTTCTTACTAGCTAAAGCTTGAACCAAGTTGATGTAGTTAGATTGAACTCAGACTTTTGTCACACCTTTAGATTTAATTCACGCAAGACTCAATCATTAGGGGATTTAGCACACAATCTAGTAAGCCATTTATAGCATCCATGAATCATCAACCGTAGTCAGCCAAGTATGATGCACCGAACGAGACCGACTAGTTGTTGGAGAGAAGCCAACATTAACTCGACATATAATTGTGCATCTTGAAGATGCCTCCATCTCCTCAGTCGTTCTGTTTCCATCCACCGTGGCTTTAACCGGTTTTGCCTCCACTGCTGTAGTGACAACAAAGCTTGCCTCTATTGCTGTACTGACGACACAGTCTGCCTCCACACACTTTTCGTCCTGGACACGCACCCCTCCCACATTGCCACGTTACAGGACTCCCACAGCGTGAACAAGACCTCCATAATTGCAAAAGAAGAATGAATCATGCTTGGAACTTGCAATTGAGATAACCTCCACCCGTTACACGCCAAAGAACAACTGCATAAAGCATGCATAATTGATTCTTCCTCTAACCCACAAACAGGGCAATCCAGTGTGACCTCCACTTGTTTATATATCAAATTCATCTTAGTTGGTAGCACCTCCCTTACCGCCCTCCATAACAACGTCTTCCATTTTGGTGGAATTTTGAGACCCATAGAGCATTTCATTTTGTAAAGGAGATGCGAAAGATGGAACCCATCTACCCCATGAGCATTTTATAGTCGAGTCTAACTGAATATTGACCTCTTAAGTCCCATGCCAATACCAAACATCCTCAAACTCCGGGCAAATAGGAGTTCGGCGTATTAAATTTGAATCCTTAGTATTAAATATATTATTTACCACCTCCATGTCTCAAGATATACCATGACCATCAGTAAACATTAAAATTGTAACTAAAGGCCACGAAGAGGCAATGGCATTTGAGTTGTAATACTCGGGTTGTCCACATTTAGGAGCCAGCTTTTCCAATCCTCCTCCTTGAGCCAGCTTTAATTAAACGCTGAGTCGCCATGTTCTCCAGCAATAACTAGGGTTATGACCCATTGTAGCTTCTAGGGAAGTGGTCTTAGGGTAGTACTTGGCTTGAAAGACACGAGCCACCAATATATGGGGATTTGTGAGAAACCTCCAATCTTGCTTTCCAAAGAGGGGCAAATTGAAAATGTGAATTTGTTTAAATTCAAGACTAGACAAATTCAAGACTAGAGCTGTCGAAACGGGTCGGCGGGATAGGGCAGAGCCAGCAAAAATATAGGCCTAAGGGAAGTTGGCCACTTGGCCCGCCTTAAGCCCGCAGGCCTTGGCGTGGGCTTGTCAAATTTTAAATGTTTTAAAGTTGAATAAAAATTAATATAAAAAAAAGATAATAAGTCTAATTTTTAAACACAATAATAACTAATAAATAGTCAAATACATAATGTGTCAATCCATATGTCAATAACAAAGCATTTATACAATATATTAATTTTTTGAACTTGATTATATTTATATGTATGTGTATATGAATTTTGGTTTACAGTTTACAGTTTATAAATTGTAAACCAAAATTCAATTAATACATAATAAAAATAGGCATTACCTGGGCCATAGATTTGAGCAATACTCCCTTCCTTGCACGAGTCAGAAACTTCTTGTTCCATGCTCTAATTCTTTGTCTCAATTTCTGTTTCACATATGAAAAAATCATCCCCTTATTTCTACCAACTGCCAAGGGGCGAGGGTAATCCCAAATATTTCCAAAAAAATTCGGGGCCTTAGGAACATTCAAATAAGTAGCAACAACAAATGTGTCTCCTCCAATAATAGTGTTATAGCTAGAAGTGATACTGGATTTGTGATAGTTGCTAGCTTGTCCTGACAAAACTCTCATAGACTAACAAAGTGTAACACCCCTGATTTTTCAACATTTTTAAAACTTAAATCTCAAAGGTAAGCATCTAATCATTGAGACACAAATCAAGCGGAGGGTATATAAAATCGGTAAGCGTTATGCCACACCCATAAACCATGGGTGCACATGCTAGTCAACAACAATCTAACAAAACAAGAACCAAACATTAAAGATTCTAAGGCTCACATGCCAACAAAGGATAAACGTCTAGCATGGAATCTACACTAACTAAGGTCCACATCTAGCGCGGTCAGCATCTACTCAAAACCTGTAAAAAGGGGGATGACACCTGGCCAACGAATAATGCTGGTAACCCATCAATATGCGTTAAATAACATAATATAGATAGATATAATCAAAACCATTTGGAACGAGAATACGATATATATCATTTCAAAACCAAGGAGAGAAGTCAACATCAAATAATCATCAATCACTCTCAATAGAAACGATGATCATCATCCTCACAATAACAGCAAGACCACAAACATGAGAGACAACACAACTCAGGATGCATCCTACCGTTCACAAGGTAGAATACATCAAGACATGGTCAAAAGCAAGGAAATCACATTCACACGGTGACAACTACATGCCACAGTGACAACTACATGCCATAGTGACAACTACATGTCACAAGTTTCATAGTTCCAACCTTATGCCCTGTTACAACCTTATGACTACCCCGACCTTATTTCAGTTCCAACCATTACCTCCTAGTGCCACCCTGTACTTCTGAGTCTAACCTTTTGCCACCGGGAACCGTCGTTCCCCCTGCCTGCACCGCCAGTTTTTCCGCCGAACTCTCAGTACATGAGGGTACCATTAAATTCATAATCACAAAATCGCCAAACTCGTGAGCAAAGCTCAAGTAACAAACCACCAATCTCAATCATAGTCACACAAGGGCATCATCATTACCAAGAAGACTAAGGCTCCACAATAGCCTCAGCCAAGTATCAACAAAGGGTACACCGATTTACGTACGATCACATCATAGGAATCAATCAAGAGATCACAATAAAGACATGAGACCATACTCAACAATCATAGGGTTACAACCCAACACCAAATGATTGTCACCACAAGTTGCCAATCTTAATACGAAGGAACAAACCAAACATACTAGCATATCAACATCAAACTAGCATGCTTGTCAAACGGGTAAACCAAAATTAGATTCCAAAGAACATTCAAGACTCACATTAGCCCAACGAATCACAAAGTTTAACCTTTAGCACGATTCAAGACACCAAATCCTACATGGATTCCTAACACACCGTTCTAGACATACAAAACATCAAGAAGACTCACTAATAGCCCAATAAATCAACATCGGGAGGTCAAAACATCAATACCGAGGAGAAAGAATCACGGGGAACAAATCCCCAGCCAACAACCACTGTGTACCCTGTGGGTGGGGCCACGGGTGGACCACCACCCGTGGGTACAAACACCCACGAGACCGGTTTCCCGCGGGTGGGGCGGCGGGTAGGGCCCTGCCCGCGGGTACACCCTCTTGTACACAATAATCCCTTCGGGAATTTTCAACAACAAGGCCAAGTTCAAGTCCAAAACATTCAAAATCTTACACACAACAACAATATGACTTGATCCCAAGAAATAGCCAATCAATGGCATTCAGGAACCCTAAGAACAAACACTAAACATGCATCACCACAAGATCATGCATCAAATCTCACAAATCATCACAAGATTCACAAGTAGAAGCCAAGAATCATCATATAAGTAAGAAAATAGGTTTTGTATAGCATGAGTTACCTTTGTATCCTAACAACTTCCTCTTTTAACCCATAATAGCCTTTCTTAGAGCTCCTCCTCCACACCAACTTCTTACACAAAACAAAACACAACAAAGATCCTAACAGACACCTAAAAGAAGGTTAAAACCACCAAAAATCTAAGGATCTTACCCTTTCATATGCTCAAGATGAAGAAAGTAGGAATCTTAGAAGAAAATCTTGCAAGACTTGGATGCTCAATTTCTTGCTTGGAGAAGAAGCTAACTTATTTTAGAGAGAGGCTAGAGTTTTTGAGTTTTTGCTTGAAGGGTGAATGAAATGAGAGAGTCTTGCTAGGTTAGCTTGAGTCACAAATCTTAGGTGAAAAGACATTTCTACCCTTACTAATGTTGGAAAGACAAGGGAACAAGGACACAATTCAAGAAGCACAAGGTACAACCTTTTGACTTAAGTGACTAGTCAAAATCTAGTCCCTCGACTATTAAATTTCAGGATTTTTGAAAATAGATTAGCAAGGACTCTTTGATTAATTCTTCAATTAATCTTCGATTAAGGTTTGGATTTACGGGGTGTCACACAAAGAGTGCCCAATATCCTTTGCCTCCTGATCATTTGCTTTAAAGAAAATCAAATTGTCATATGCAAAAACCAAATGTGAGGTCACATGTGCTCCCCTAGCAACCCTACACCCATTAATAAGATGTTGTCACTAGGAGCTTTGCAATAATAAGGATAGTCATTTTGCACAAATATGAAATAGATACAGTGAGAGTGTTCCTCGTTGCAACCCCCTAGAGGGTACTATTGATCCCCCAGCCTGCCCATTGACCATAATAGTATATCTCATTGTGGTGACACACATCATCACCAAATTTACCCATTCTTGTGCAAAGCCTAGACCCAACATCATACCCTCCAAAAAGCCAACTCCATTCTATTATATGCCTTAGTCATATCCAATTTCAGTGTTGCCCACCCCACTCTACCTCCTTGTTTTCTCCTCAAATAATGATCCACTTATGCAACAACAAGAAGATTGTTAGTTATTAATCACCAGGAATAAACGCACCCTGGACTCGGAGATCATATTATCCAATAACAATTTCATCCTATTAACCAACATCTTGACCATGATTTTATAAACCACATTGCAGAGCGCAATTGGCAAACCACATGTGTGTGTTCACGAGCGTGTTCATGAACCTAAACGAACATATTCGTGAATGTGTTCGTTAACATTAACAAACACGTTTGCGAAAGTTTCTGCGAACGTTAACAAACATTAATGAACGCTTAAACGAATATGAACAAGAATTTCAAAAACCTTAATAAACGAATACGAACACAAACACTCCAAAGTTCTTAACAAACAAATACGAATAACCTCCTTTCGTTTATATTCGATTGTTAGGAACATATAAGACTGACTCTATAGGAACATTAGGAACATATAAGATTGACTCTAAGGGGAAAGATGGCATAGGATGAGCTTGACCAACACCGGCAACTGTGTTTGATGACCATTAGCTAGGGTAACCATGGGCAAAGCTTTAGACTTTGTGACATTAATCATAAGGGATAGGTTACCCGAAATATGGCCTGAGACACTTGTGTCTAGAATCCAAGTATTTGTGTTGCTAGCTTGAGAGAAACAAACAGAGGAATTACCAACAGTGAGAGATGAAGCCATAATATTATTCCAAAGGACAAGAAAAAACTGACTCAAGGGATGGATGATCGGCGAGTTGACCGTTGACCGTTGACCGGCGGAGATGAGAAAACGGAAAACACAATCTGAAGCGTCTCCTCGAGACGAATTCATCGATGGCAACAGCGTCTCGATCGGAGATCGGAGTAGGGAGATATGGCCGGGGATAAGACCTATCTACCTTCATACTAGCTAAAGCTTGAACCAAGTTGAGGTTTAGTTAGATTGAACTCAGACTATTGTCACACCTCCAGATTTAATTCACGCGGGACTCAACCATTAGGGGATTTAGCACACAATCTAGTAAGCCATTTATAGCATCCATGAATCATCAACCGTAGTCAGCCAAGTATGATGCACCGAACGATACCAACCTGTTGTTGGAGAAAAGCCAACATTAACTTGGCATATAATTGTGCTTCTTGAAGATGCCTCCTTCGCCTCAACCGTTCTGTTCCATCCACCGTGGCTTTCACCAGTTTGCTTCCACCGCTGTAGTGACGACACAACCTGCCTCCACACACTTTTCGGCCTAGACACGCACCCCTCCCACATTGCAACGTTACGGGACTCCCACAGTGTGAACAAGATCGCCACAATTGCAAAAGAAGAATGAATCATGCTTAGAACTTGCAATTTAGATAAACTCCACACGTCACACGCCAAAGAACAAATACATAAAGCATGCATAATCGATTCTTCCTCTAACCCACAAATAGGGCAATACAGTGTAACCTCCACTTGTTTATATATCAAATTCATCTTAGTTGGTAGCACCTCCCTTACTGCCCTCCATAACAACGTCCGCCATTTTGGTGGAATTTTAAGACCCCATAGAGCATTTCATTTTGTAAAGGGAGATGAGAAAGATGGAGCTCATCTACCCCATGAGCATTTTATAGTCGACTTTGACTGAATATTGACCTCTTAAGTTCCATGCCAATACCAAACATCCTCAAATGCCAGGCAAATAGGATTTCGGCGTATTAAATTTGAATCCCTAGTATTAAATATATTATTAACCACCTCCATGTCCCAAGATTTACCATCACCATCAGTAGACATTTAATTTGTAACTAAAGTGCCACGAAGAGGCAAGGGCATTTCAGTTGTAATACTCGGGTTGTCCACATTTAGGATCCAAGGGTCACTCCAAACATCAGTAGATAAACCTTTTCCAATCCTCCTCCTCGAGCCAGCTTTTATAAAACTCTGAGTCTCCATAATACTTCTCCAACAATAACTAGGGTTATGACCTATTGTAGCTTCTAGGGAAGTGGTCTTAGGGTAGTACCTGACTTGAAAGACACGAGCCACCAATGTATGGAGATTTGTGAGAAACCTCCAGCCCTGTTTACCAAGGAGAGCCAAATTAAAAATGTGAATTAGTTTAGAGTTAAGACTAGAGCGATCAAAACGGGTCGGCGGGGTAGGGCTGAGCCCGCCAAAATACGGGGTTGTGGGAAGTTGGCCCGCCTAGCCCCGCGGGCCTTTGTATGGACTTGTCAAATTTTAAAAGTTTTAAATTTAAATAACAATTAATATAAAAAAAGGTAATAAATGTATACTAAAATAATTTGAATTGTTTAAACATATATTTATGCATTTGTAATTTTTTAAACACAATAATAACTAATAAATAATCAACTACATAATGTGTCAATCCATATGTCAATAACAAATCATTTATACAATATACTAATTTTTTGAACATGATTATGTGTGTGTATATGTGTGTGTTTTTTTTTTTACTAATATAATAACTGAAATTGTTATTTTCTTGTGTTTGTAATTTATTTATTTTTTAAAGGTGGCTAATCTAAGACAACGGTTCTTTCACTCTATTGCACCTGGTGGGCTTGCCGGAGATAGGCGGGCAGTTGTTCCAGCTTCAGGCTTTTCATTTAGTTCACAACAACTATGGACGGTTATTAAGCAGAACAAAGACCTTGATATGCCTGCACACAAGGTTGTGACCTGATAATCTGCTGTACATATTCAGTTTTTACATTTTTCTACTTGTTTTTGAGAATTTGAGGTATACGATTATGGTCCAACTACAGGTTATGGTGGCTACTGTACGATGTGAAGAAATTGCAAATGAAAAATATGCCTCTTTTACTGCAAATGAGGTATATTTAGATATTTGTGAAGACTTGTGAACAGTACACTATTTCCTCGATAATTTATAACACTACATTCCTGCAACTATATAACTCGTAGGAATGGTGTCAACTTGATAAAGCAGTTCAGTCTCATGTTGTGCCTCGCTTTAGGAAGAAGCTTAGTTCAATGCTGGGTACTTGTCTAACAGAGTAAGCATATCTACTTTTGCCTGATAGCATGCAATGCATTTATAAATTTGTATGTGTTTATCTACTTAAGTACCCTATAGTTAATCTTGTTGACTGTCATAAATCAATACGTTGGCTCTCTCATCTGATAATTACATGTATAAATTTTCAAAGTAATTTTATGTTTTGGTATAATCATTTCTTTGAAATGATGTTTTTTATCCTCTATTTTAATATTCCACTAGGCCCTTTTTGCAACTGAACAAGTGAGATGAAAAAAGAATATAATACCACCAGTACACACTCTTAAGTAAGATTGAGGCACAGATCAAGCAAAACTAAAGTACCAAGTGGCACCACGAGTGGAGCTAACCTTTGCCATTCCATGAATTCCAAAATTTTGACTTTGCTGTTTTACTGCATTTTATGTGTGACTAGCTTCTCGTCTAGTCTGTTACATTTCAAAATTACTTTTCACATATGAAAAAATTTGTCTAATAAATTAGATGATATAGTCAATGGGTTCAACATTCTTTGCATTTTCAGGTACGAGGCTGAGACCACATTTTATGATGAAGGTGTGAGATTGGATAAGAGAAAGCAGTTGGAAGAGAAACTGCTGCAGGTGATGCTTTTTAATATTATGCTTGATGTTTTTTTAGTTTCTGAGTTGTCCTGCACTCCTGCAAACTGGTGAAGTAATACGCATTATCCCCTAGAATTCCCATTTGATTCTCTGGTCTTTAAAAGTCAAATGTAGGGTGTTTTTTCCAAGCTTTAACAATTGTCAGACCTTCATATATATTGCAATCCAGTTTAGGAGGCTTTACTATCTTTTGACATTCTAGGCTCATATATGGTGTCAGATTTTATCTGTCTTTAAAATTTTAATGAGAAATCAACTACTTCAAAGTTGGTTCTTAGAAGTGTGCTTGAAAACCGATCAATGTGTAAATGAAATGAAATTTCATTGAGATATTACCGTTCCAGGTATCAAGAATGAAGAATTGTGTTTTCTTTGTTGTTATTTGCTCTAATACATATGCTGATTTGCCTGGACTATTGTTTCCTTGTGTTTGTAGCTTACCCTACCAGCCTATCAATTCATGCTGAAACATATACGATCTGAAACTTTAGAAAAATTCAAAAAGGAATTTGATATTGCATTGAATGAAGGGAAAGGCTTTGCTATGGTTGCCCGTGGCTGCACCAAGTCCTTTATGGCCCAGTTTGATGAAAGATGTGCCGGTAAGAAATGTAGAATTTATCATTTGCTTTTCCTCTTGGCTTTGTTTTGATGTCCATTGAAGATGTTGCTAACAAACATCAATCACTATACACCCTCTATTGTGTAGGAGGGAAGTGGAAAGTACTATGCTTGATTGTTATTTTGCTACTCAGGAGTATCTATAAAGGATTGCACTCTCTTCGTGTTTATGATTGAATGTTATAAACTTGCTTTATATGAAGTAAAGGGGATTTGATATGGAATTTTTTTTCCAACATGCCAGTCACTTAATATGAGACTCTTTTCCGTAGATCTTCTGTTCTGTCCCAATCTTAAAGTAACAAGGTAGAAAGAGGAATACAGAAGTGTCTTGAACTTCTCTGACTATCCAAGAATTTTCTTTGCACTTGGGTGGTTATTGTATCTTAGAATTCAAGCTTTTATAGTTTTGTTTTTTTTTTTTGTTTTTGTTTTGTTTTTTTTTGTTTTGTTTTTTTTTTTTTTTTTTTTTTTTTTGTTTTTTTTTTTTTTGTTTTTTGTTTTTTGTACTAATTTAAAGTTAATGTGGAGTTTGTGTTGGAAAAAATAGCAAAAATGGCATTGTAAGTAGCTATTTTGTAGTACAGATATATGTGAGACCCACTTCCGATTTGGGTCGGGTCAGAGTGGATTGAAGTTATTCGTTAAGACGAAGAGATCGATATGTTGTACTCCCAAAACGGATAATGGGTGATTGAGAAATTGATTCTCAAAATATACGCATTTGAGTTGGAAACTAGAGAAAATGAATGGAGACATGGATTGCTTGGTTGGAGGCACCATTTGGTCAAGATGGACCAGATGGTTGAAACCTCTTCTCGTAACCTTTTGGGTACCTTTCAAAAGGCACCATTCGAAGTAGTTATCTTTCGAGCTACTCAAGTTTCGAACCACTGTTCGGAGTACCGTTCTAGGTATTAATTTTGATATTACGGAATTAATTACGAATTAATTCCAATTTTAAATTCTAAAATTAATTTCCTGGTCGTCTATTATGAATGTTACAGTCTGGGTTTTGAACCAGTGATTCATGCCATGTTAATTGTTATTAATTCCTCTTCTCCTGTATAAGCCTAGGTTGAGCAAGTGATTTCACACGCTGAAAATTTTTGGCTTCTTCCTCTCAAAACTCTGTTCTTCCTCTTCCTCAATTTTCTATGCTCAAAACCGTGTTCTCTTTCGTCGGGTTTTATTGTTTGAGTGCTCAAACTTAGAACCTAAGCTTGTTTTATCCGGGGAAACCTACAACGCTCCTAACACCGAAGGGAGGTTTTTAGTGTGGGTATCACACAATCAAGCTAACCTAGCCTTCTCTCTCTTTTCGTGTTCTTTATGCTGGTTAAATTCATGGAAATAATCTTTTCGTAGGATTATATTCATAACAGTTTGAAGATTTTGTGCTGATACGATTTATCTAAAATAAGCACGAATAATTCTTTATGTAGATGCTGTCATTGATCAAGCTAATTGGGACTCGTCTAATACAAGGGATAAGCTCAAGTGTAATATAGATACACATATTGCTGCAGTCCTTAAGTCCAAGCTGGATGAACTTACAGGAGTCTATAAGGTATGATGGCATGCAGACTTTTAGCTCAAGTAGTGCCAATTGGACAATTAGGACTAATCATAAATTCGTATTCTGTGCTATAAGATCCGGTGATCATTTTATTTTGACATCTTTGGGATATATGAACATATTTCATGATTTAAATTAAAGGCCACAAAGAAATTTATTTATTTATTTATTATTATTATTATTATTTTTTTGGTGGGGGCGGGGAAATTGTTGTGAAAAACATTTTCTTGATAAGTTTTGGGCTTGGTATAATTAATTAACATTTGTGAGAGTTTTTGTGCAGACAAAGTTGAATGATGCACTATTTGAAAAGGTTGGGTCTCTATTAGATCAAGCTGGAGATAATACATGGCCAGAAATAAGAAAACTCCTACGGCGTGAGACAAAAGATGCAGTATCATCTTTTTCTGCAGCACTCTCTGGCTTTGAGATGGATGAAAAAACCAAAGATAATATGCTTTCAAAGTTGAAGGATTATGCAAGAGAGGTAGTCGAAACAAAGGCAAAAAAAGATGTTGGAATGGTTTTGCACCGTATGATAGGAAGGTACTTAAACGATTTGGTTGTAGCAACTTCTGGCTTAATATTTTCTAAATTATTAAATGTGTGAACATATTGAGAAGTGTTCCAAAATTGTTGATAGGTTTAAAGAAGAATTTTTCAAAGATTCCTATCAAACTCATACAGGGGGGAAAGAAATCAAAGCAATTGCCAAAAGTGCACGTTCATCTGTATGGCTATGATTAATTGAAGATTGTTATGTCTGACCTCCTATTTCAGTGGTGCACTTAATTCTGACTTTTTTAATGTTTTCCCCAGTCTCTCAAAATACTCTCAGTTATGGCTGCTATTCGCTTGGAGGAAGAAACTGACAATATTGGAAAGATCCTTTTGGATGCTTTCATCGAAAGCCCGTCACCTGACTCTCTACCATCAAGCTCTTGGGATAAGGTAATTATTTGGCTTTGGTGCATTGATGAAGCAGTCAGTTAATTTGTAGTTAGAAAAGAAAGGAGAAGAAAATGTCCCTTTTTATATTTTACAAGTTGGAATGTTGTTGTTGTTAACAGTTGAATATCAATGTTTTCCTATGTAGTGTTGTGCTTGAGTTATTGCTCATTTGAAATGTTTCTGTTAAATATTTGAAGTGTAGAACATCAATATTTTCTTATGCATTGTTAAGGCCTCTGCATCTTTGTTGATTGCTGTTATGCATTTTCAAAAAATTCACTTTTCCTATGCTCCCCTTTCAGGTTCCTGCATCAAAAACGTTGATAACACCTCTCCAGTGCAAGTCTGTTTGGGAAGACTTTAAAAAGAAGACAGAAGAGTGCATCCATACAGCTTTGGTTACTCAGGCATGATATTTCAATTACATGTGCAAATTCCTCTTTTTATGGCAGGTTTTTATTTTGTCACTTTGAATTTGATGGATTTCAAAAATTGAGGCAAACAAATATGCGACTGAGCAGCTGCATAAAATAATGAGTTGACAACTCTTTGCATAATGATTACAAGCATAGTGCATCCATCAGATTTAAGTTTGTAGTCTCTTATGGGGAGTGTATTCGTTGTCATCTCTCATTCAAGTAGTTTTCTTACAGCTTGTTTACTAATTTTCAGAAGGCTAACAGAAATAGCAATATATATCAATTGGCATCGATGGGCTTTAATGTAGGAATGCTTGGCAATACTGCTGTACATGCCGGTATGACCCTACATAATCACATCGGAATGACAGCGGCTGTAGACGTCAATCTGGATCCAGCAATAGCGGGTCTACACACAACAGCGGATCTACACTTCATAGCGGATCATGACCTCACAGCGGATCTGTGTGGATCCACACATCACAGCGGATGACATTAGTTAGGAATCTTGGGTTCACACTGCACTGTGCATCCTGGTTTTTGTGCATGCGTTTTGTTTTGTGTTGTGACTTTTTGTATCTTACGTTATGAAATTCTATACTTGGAACAAACTAGTAATTGTGTAATGTTATGAATTTTTGTGTAGTATTGTGAAATTTTGTGTCTATAAACACAAATTATGTACCTAAATCAAATGTGAAAGATAAGTAAATGTATAACATGTGTATGTGTTTTGGCGTTGAATATGAATTTTGTACCTCGTCGTTTCAATCAAGGGTTCATAATGTTATATGTCTTGTGTTGTGATTTTTGAGTTTTGTATTTAAAATTTTGTATCTTGTTTTAATTCAGGGTTCATAATGCTATATGGATTCTGGTCTAATATATAAATTGCCTATTAGTTAGTTATAAAAAATGTTTAATAAATTACGTAGTAGTTTTTATTCTTAGTTGATTACATGTGAGACCTGAACATAAGTATACTATGCTATTTTAAGTCTATATTTACTTTTTTTTTTTTTTGTTTTTTTTTTTTTTGAAAACAAGTCTACATTTACTGTTTTTTTTTTTTTTTTGAATGCTACTAGATCTATTACAACCTCCACTGAAAATCCAACATAATGAAGATCCATTAAGAGTACCAATTGAGCCAATCACAAGGCCCAAGTCCAAACAATTAAGGCAACTCTTCATTGGTGATGTTCAAAGATTGTGAAAATCTAAGTCAAGCCCATTTGCAAAAAATGAAGAAGAACTCAAAGCTTTTTATAATTGTTTAAGTGCTGATTTTGGAGATTAAATTAGGTCCAAATCAGCCTTATTATTTTTGGTCTATCATTATTTTAAATTGTTTGGCATTAAAACGAAAACACTACTTTGTATTTAGAAATGATTCTTTAAATCTCTTTCTAAATATGACTATATTTACTTGTTTTCTAGATTAGGTTTAGAACTCTTTTTCCCATTGTATTTAGGATTACAACGCTGCCCTATACCTATAAATAGGACACATCCATAACAGTTTTAAGGAAGCTTTAATTCAATAAAATTCTTAAGTTTTTCTTTACACTTGTGTAAGAAACCTTATGGCTAATTGTGGACTCAATTAGTGGCTAGTTCGTGGACTCGTCTAGCAAATTGATTCGTGGACTCGTATCAATCTTCCTTTCTTCAACCTTAGATTTAGGTTCGCGGACTCGTTCTTGAATTGAAGGAAACTAGATCCTACTCTAGTTGATTGAAGATTGCATCATCGAGGTACTTGAAGCTACATGGGATTCTTCGAAGTCTTTGAGGATTCGGGACTAAGAGTTTCTTGTGAGGTTTAAGGTATTTTGATCCATCTCTACCTTTACATTGAGAGCAATCTTGGGACAATACTCCATTTTATTTGAATCTTGGACTAGGTTCATATCAATTTGGTATTCAGAGCCTAGGTTTATCTCAGAATCATTACAATTTTGATTTCTTAGGTCATATATCATAACCATTGAAAATTTGTTTCCTTTGATTATTAAATAAAAAAACATATCATTCTTATCTTACATACTGGCTTTTTTTTTTTTTTTTTTTTTTTTTTTTTTTTTTTTTTTCGTGTTTTATACATCAAAAAAATAAAATAAAATTGCTTTCTTGATTGTATTCTTGAATAATGATACATGTTCTTTAGTTTCTTGAAAAACAATCCCGAAAGAGTTTTCCCTGTTTCCCATCCAATATCAACGATACTCCACACCTCCTAAGCACCATATTACCAAAAATTCTTTCAAGAAAAGAAACCCATCTCACACTTACCTATATCCAAAGCGCAGTTACGCGCAATCACGTCGCAATCATACCTTGTCCAGATTTCCGCGTTCTGTGACCAATTTCAAAGAATGATTTATATCTCGAGATCTAATGCTTCGTTTTATATGAAATTTGGATATGTTGTAGATCTCTTCTAGGAAGTTCTTTTGATATATTATACACTTTCTAATTCCTTCTGGTCATTGAGATATTGATCTTCAAAGTCAGGGAAGCATTTCTGTTTTTAGGGTGATTCTTGAAATTCTTGATTCTGTTTTGAAGTGCTTGTGTGGAACCACTTGGTCCGAAATTTTCTGTGATATTTACAGTAATTATTTGGAGGTTACTTATCAAAAAAAATCAAGAAATTAAAAAAAAAAAAGAGAAAGCAATAAAGAAGAAGAATAAGGTTGGGAAAAGAATTTGGTTGGTAGGTGAATCTTGGAGGGAAAAGGAAGGGGAAAAGTATACGGAGTTCTTGATATGTTCCTATTTGGTTGTGGTATACTTGAACCCCTTTTAAATTCTACTTACCTCAGTCTTTTGATATTGATCTTGCATATCTTTCTACCATACTTCCTTCTTTGCATTCCTTTTTCTTTCAAATCTTGCTTAGTTTCTTTGTTCGTATTGTCCCTTTTCTTTTCTTCTTGCTCTCAATTTTATTACCTACCTCACGATACACCCTTACTCTCAAAGGCTTGCGAAGTCTTCCAAGGTATGTTTTCTTGAACTTTGAGGTTGAATCCATATCAACCTGAGTTTCGGACTAGAAATTTTCCTTTCTGGAAAAAGGCTTGTGAGAGTATTTGCCACTTGGAGTGATACACGAGTGGAGTGTGTGTTTGTAAGGGTGTTAAGTGTACCCCCAAAACCATATAATCCACCTCATACCCGTGAGCTAAGGATAGAGAGGGAGAGAGCCACTTTTTTTGTTTCACTAACATGAATACTCACATATATTCTTGTTTTTAGATTTTGTTTCTCATCTACAGATGGCTGAAGAGGTTCCAAACACACGTCAAGATTAAAGTAGAAAATAGATGCTCTAGCCTTTGCCATGGAAGGTTTAAGCACTCGAATGACTAATCTAGAGCAACACCCTAAGCAAGTGCAACCGCCACTCTATACTAGGGAAAACATTCATGGAAATAGATGCATTCTCGTTATCAATTCGGATCGTTGTACGAATTTAGCTAGTGCAACCACGGTGGATTACCTTAAATTACCTCTTTTCAATCACCTCCAACCATATAATCTTATTGATTCAGGGGATGTGAGAGTGACTAAACAAGCTTTTATTTCTTTTTGTATTGGCAAGTATTATTGATAAACATTATTTTTGTTGTTATTTTAAATAATCTTTTTATAGTTAAGTTGCAAATAATTGATTAATTCTTATCTATTTTTATTTATTATTGCTACAATTAGTTTTTAGTAATATTATTCAATTTTAGGTTGTTTTAATTATTAAATTTGTTTTATTATTTTAATTCTGTTAGTCCAATAATTCCGTGATCTTAATTTAATAAAATTACTAATACTAATATTAGTTTTAGTAGTACTTGATTAGTAGGAGTTTAATAATAGTAGATTATTTATATATGGTCTCTATTATTATTATTATTATTGTTGTTATTATTATTATTATTATTATTATTATTATTATTATTATTATTATTATTATTATTATTATTATTATTAATTAGAAATAAAGAGATCCAGAACCAGAATTGCGGATGGTATTCTTCAACATCTTCGGTCCTGAGGCCGATCCGACTGAACAGCGCGGAAGGCCTGAATGAGAGAATCGATGGATGTTCTCTGGTTCACACTCTTCAATGAAAATCTAAAATCGAAGAAATCGTAGTTGGGGTAGGAGAAGCGGTTGGAGACTAAACAGTATAAAAGAGGGCGATCTCGAGGAGGAAGGGATCATCAATCCACCCCGGATCAATTCCGGAGGCGATAAAAGCAAATATCAAATTAACTCCGGACGAAATCCGGAGGCGGCGGAGGAGATTTTCATTCAGCGGCGGCGAACCTGATTCAGCAAATTAGTCTTCAGCATTATTTCTGGTTCTTTTCTATTTTTCTTGAATTTGGCTTCTAGATTTCTTCAATTCACATTTGTTAATTATATAAACCAGGTTGAAATCCCTTTAACGTCAATTCTGTTTCTTATTAAATTTGGTAGAACTGTTTGACTTTGCATTCTTGTCTTCTTTCCCTTCCATTGTTTATCTTCTCTTTCAGTACGTCAAATTTGTGGATTTCAGTTTATATAATTATTTGTTGCTTAGTAAATTTATTTGGTTGGTTTCGAATGATTGTGGTATTGCAATTTTTGATTGGATTGAGTTGTCCATGATTAATCTCTTCACTGTTAATTATTAATGACATTGCTTAGGAAGATAATTGTTTTTAATTTCTCAACCATAATTTGCTAATTAATTTGTTCTAAGAATGTGGTGAATTTACCATGAACATTGTGTACTGATAAAAGGATTGAATCCTTTTCCTCTCAATGACCAATTCCGGAGAAAATACGCATTCTCGTGATTTGTATCCAAAAGTCGCTTAGACATTGAAAAATTGGATTATGAAATAACGAAACAGAATTATTAGAATTGGATCAAAACTTCCAATTGAATAAGTATGAGTAAGGGATCCATGGCTGAAGCTAGAAAGTTCTTTTCAAATTTCTAACCGTAACTAAATCTTCAATTTTTTATTTTGTAGGAAAGAGATTGAAGCAAAATAGCTATGAAACGATGCCTTTGGTTTACTAGAGGCATCAACATATTGTTTTAGCTCGGTGGAAAAAAATACTTTTCCTCAGGATCCTAAGAATATTAAAGAATTAATCTAATAAGTAATAATATTTATATTTCACCAATTTAAGAATATTCAATAGAATATTGAACCTAAATTGCAGTGTTAGTAATGATAATTTATTCATGTTCCTAGTCTTTATTTCTTCTATTTTGTTTCATAGTTATTCAATTATCTTTTCAAGTTACTTTGATTTTAAGTTCATTAAATGGCATTTTTATTAAATTGCATTGTACCAATTTCCCGTGGGATCGACCCTTGCTTTTGCACTTTATTACTACACTGACTCGTGCACTTGCGAGGACATTATTTAAAATTGTCCATCAATTTTTGGCGCCGTTGCCGGGGAATTGTTTATTTTGCAATTTAATTTTCTGCTTTTTTTTCGTTGATTGCTTGATATTTTTTTTTTCTATCCTGTCATTATTGTCTTTTCTTTTATTTTTAATCTTGCATTTTATTTTATTCATTCGTTCATTTAAAAATTGCTTTATACTTGTTTTTACTTTCACTATTCTCTTTATTTTTCCCATTCCTTAACTGCTTAATTCTTTAATTCTATCACTTTATTATTATTGTCGTTTGATTATCCTTTTTAATATTGCTATTTATTCAAGTCATTAGTC